ATTCCAAACTGAGCGATGCTTCTTTTCAAAAGAAGCCAAACCACTCACTCTTGGTTCTGCACCATCTCGTTCCTGATGGGCCTCCCTAACTGGGCCAGAGACCAGGGCTGCACCTGCCCGCCTCCATGACACCCCCAGCCTCCCTGCACAGCATCCTGCGCATCCAGCTGGACACAGAGCAGCCTCTGAAATGTCCTGTGGTCGCTCACTGGGGGCTACAGTGTCCGCTCCTGCATGATGACTGGCCGGGCCAGGCCGCCTCTGTGACAGATATTCCATAAAGATTTTTCCATGAACCAATACATGAAATCAACAGTTTAAGATTATCTCTTGGATTTAAGTGTCTTGATATATCCTATGCTCAGGTTTTAAGAAAACATTAAAAATTTATGACAGGGGTGTGCTCGCTTCAGCAGCACATATACTAAAAATTTATGACCGGGGCACCTGGCTGGCTCAGTCAGTAGAGCGTACGACTCTTGATCTTGGGGTTGTTTGAGCCCCACGTTGGGTGTAGAGATTACTTAAAAAATAAAATCTTTCAAAAAATAAGAAATTTATGACAGATGTTTAACAATCTGAATGTCATATTTCCCATGTAAACCTATTTAAATCTCTTTAAGGAAGAGTCTGTAACTAAGTTAATATATACCACCTAACAAGGCACCAGGACAGAGGCTTTGTAGGTTAACAAAAAGTAACCAATCTTGTCCAGCTCTGCTTATTCTCACTTTCTCCACCTGGAATGCCTTTCCCCAACTACCATGAACTCCGCTCACCCTTCCCAGACTTGCTCCCTCAGGAGGACTCTGCCCCCCTCCCTCTGAGCCTCCCATCACTGTCTTCCCCATCAGCATTCTCTACCTGGTCTCACCCGTTCCGGCAGGATCTGCCCTGCACACCTCAACCCTGGTACCATTTCTAGCAGGCCGGGAGAGCAACCTGTCCAGCATGCAAGAAAACAGATGTCCCTGGGGGTGAAGACAAAAGTAATATGCTTGAGCACATGGAAAATTTTATTAAGAGACCTTACTTACAGAGCTATCAGAGAGAGCTAAGAATATCAAGTAAACAGAAAAAAAAAAAAGTCGCAACTGTTAAGCTCAAGAAAACAGGGAAACAAAAAGTTGAACAAAAAGGAAATATAATCATGCTACATTAACCGGCTCAAAGGTGAGCAACATTAACAAAGTCAAAATGATTAACCAAATTATGGATCTAAACAAAAATTGTGATACAACTATGTGCGGAAAATGGGAGTTCAAAATGTAACTTTTTCTAAAACTGACCCATCGATGACCCTGCCTCTACACAGATACTGCTGGGAACCGTGGACATAAATGCTAATAGAAACAGCTAACCAGGACTACAGGCACCTCTGGGAGGCAGATGGTGGGTGGAGGGCAGGACAGGAGCCCGCTGTACCTTTCAACATTATTTTACTTTTGAACACATGCTCCTACCACCTCTGATAGAAGTGAAATTTGCAAGTAAGAAAAAGAAACAGAATCTCTAATAGAAGCATTTCAAGCAAGACATAAGTGTTTTCCTCCAACTTTTCAACCACACTACTCCCTTTCCCCCTTCAACAGTCTCTCTCGAAACCCTCAGGAGGCAGGCAGCTGAGGACAGCATGTGTGGTCTGTGGCCTGGCATCACCGCCCACCAGCTCCGTACTCTTGAGAAAGCTACTGTGAGCTCTGACCCTGAGCTTTCCCCACCTGCAACATGAAAACACCCCCACGGACCTCAGGGACCCGGCTGGGTTGGGCTGCTCAGCACCCAGATGGTGAGTTAAGTGTGAGGATGACTGTACATACCCTGGACCTAAGGCACCTGGACGCAATCCGTCTCACTACTCTCTCCCCCTTCACACCACGGGCCAGGCCGGCTTTCATTCTGACCACGCCCCCACACTGCTCTGAACGCTGCCAGAGCGCCCTCCAAGTCGCCAAACCTCAATCCTCATCATGACCTTTCCTGACGCTTCACAGAGTTGATCCCATCCTCCTCCTGGAACTTTCTTCCCTTCTTCCCATGGTGCCAGTGCTTCTGGTCCTCCTCACACCTGCTCTGTGCCAACCACTGCTCACGTTCGTCCTTGAGCACTCGATGGCAGAGTGGCCCAAGGCTCGGGCTGGCTTGTCTTCTCTGTGCTCACTCCCTCAGTGATCACAGAGTGTCACTGCGTTTTCATTGCCACTTCCAGCTCAGACTTCTCTTCCAAGCTCCGAATGCCTATTTACAACTGCCTACATGACATCTCTACTTGGATCTCTAACAGAATCGCAAACTTAAAATGCCTATGAGTGAGCTCCCCATCTGCCCCTCTACACCAAGTTCCACCCACAGCCTTCCCCCCATCTAGTTGCCCAGGCCAAGAGCCTTCTAGTCAACTCAACTCCTCCCTCTGTCCTCACACCCCTTATCCAATCTGTCAGCAAACCCTACTGATTCTACCTTTGAAATACATCCAGGGCCCAACTGCTTCTCACCACCTCCAGTTTTCCTGCTCCAGTCCAAGCCTCCACTGCTGCTCACCTGGCTCCCTCAATGGCCTGCCGACAGGTCTCTTGGTTGTCCTCTACCTTCCCCCACCGCCGGTGTCTATTCCCCACACACCGGCTTTCCAAAGCTCAGTCGCATCTCGGGGCTGAACACCGAGGGACAGCTGCCCCCGCAGCCGACAGCCAGCACGCCTGACCCTAGTGACTCTTTGTTTCGATAAACAGCTCCAGACCCTCAGAGTTCAATCTATGTCAATTGTTCTCAGCTGCCCTGATGCTAAAAAAGCCATCTTTATTCACAAAATGGGGGTTTTCAGACGGGTCTCCAGGCAACCTTCCTTTCTGTCTACTGCCTCCCCACACCCCATTCCCTGAAAATAATCTCCATACGTATTCCAGCAATTCAACTCCTCCAAAACTTTTCTTTGCTTTCCTAGAATTCTGGTTGTAAAACACCTCTATCCCAAGATTCTGCCTTATAATGCAACACCCCAAAACAAATCAAGAACCAAGAACCTGATCCATCCTACAGGGGCTCAAGGGGACCAGGGCACTCAGGTATATCAAGGGACCCAGATCTCAGCAGATCATTAAGCTGATGCTGTACAAAGCCAGGCTGACTCATGTGGCCTCACCATTTGTCCAGAATTGGGGGGAAACAGTTATAGAAACACTGGTTATAAGGTTATTTTCCTGGGTTTACATATTTTCAAACAGGGGTGGAGGGGAGGGGAGTGCCAAACTAGAAGCAGCAGATTATATCCCAGTGCTCAAAGTTCCAGTGAGCCATGAACGGGCTCTCAGTTCCCTGTAAGGCCTTCATTCCACAGCACACCACATTAAGAAGAAAAATTTCTGTGTAATTTCTGCTAAATATGAAACTGTCTTGTGCTCTACCAAGATGAACTATTTTTAATAGCTAATGCTGCTGAAAAGTTATACTTGATATTCTCCCTCTTGTTTGGATCCACTAAGAAAAAAGAACTTATTTTGTGGCAAACATTAAATATTCCTTCATCCAGCATTTAGTGAAAACTACCTATGGGCCAAGCAGAAAACATGCAGAGATGAAATAAAGTCTTTGCCCTTGAAGATGCAGAAACAGACTTGTACCCAATAAATATAGCACACTGCTACAGGAAGAAACATGGAATGCGCAGGGCGGGGCGGGGGAGACAGGGGTGTAAACAGCTGGGCGTGGCCTTCTCCAAAAGACAGCATAGTCACACCTGGCAGAGCACACACACAGAGCAGGTGCCTCTCGCAGCCAAGGGTGGAAGGAATTAGAGAAAAGGAGCACGACTTCCAGGCCTTACTTGGAAATTGAAACTGCATGACATAATTTCCCTTCCCTAATACCTAATCCTGGCAGAAACAAAAGTGGGTTTGGGGGAGAAAGGAGAACAAAAGAGGAAAGTGAACTGACCCCCAGAAGGAAATGGAAAAACAATCCAGGGCCCTGCCCCTTGGAAATCTAACACAAAGACATTTGCCAAAGTCAAATTCAACATAATTATAAATGATCCTGAATTCTGAATCCATGAAGTCTAAGTTCATGAGGCTTTTACCAAAGCAACGTATGGGTAAAATAAAATGTTTACCAATGCTAATACCCCAAGAGAGATTTATGAATCGTCTATCAACTACCTGTCCTCGATTTGCCACTAGGTCTACCAGAAAGAGCAGTCTTTGGAAACAAGACAAACTGGGATAGAATCTCAATTCTACAACCTCCCAACTGTTGAGGGCAGCGCAAGTGCCAAGGTAACAAATTAACAAATCACAAATAACCCAATCTCTGGGGCTCAGTTTTCCTCTCATTAAAGTAGGGAAAATGCCACCGAGTATTAATGGCTAACATTTGTGAATGCTGCGTACATTTCACATTTGTTACGGCATTTTCACCGCAGCCCTGGGAAAGCGGTCCTGTCAACAGCACCCTTGGTCGGAGGAGAGAGCTAGGTTTAGGTAGTCAGTAAAGAGTTAGAATGGAGAGAAAGCTAGGTTTCAGTAGTCAGTGAAGAGTTAGTAAGTAAGTAGCCAAGCCAACATCTGAATCCAGAGCCCATAAGGAAAAGACACAAGTAAAAAGCACGGGCTCCAAAGCCAGACTGAGTCTGAATCCCAGCTTTGCCCTTTACTAACTTAGTAACCTTTAACCTGTTTCAGTTATGCAAATGTGAAACAGGGCAAAGGGTAGCCTCATTCATGGGGTTACCGGGAAGACTCACTGAGCAGCTGGAGCTCCCAGTGTCTGCGGTGCTCGGGCACTCTTCTAGAGCACACGGCTACGTCACCACTATCCCGGACGTTACTGTTACCCGCCTGCCTCAAAGCACACGTAAAAGGCACTAAACAACTAATAGTTCTTCCCTCACCTACTGTGCTTTATTTGTTTCTACTGTATGTCAAAGAAACCCTAAAACAGATGAAAGAAAAATCAAAACAAAACAAAAAACCAAGACACAAATGTAGCAAGAGAATTATACTCACAGTTCCGAAGGCCACGATAACTCTGTGAAGAAATCAAACATCAGTTTAAAGGAAATGCTCCTAGCTTCTCTTTCCTCTTTCCATAGTCCTCCGAGAACCTGACAAGGAGAAACAACACGCGCATATAAAACCCTGAAGTTCTACTGAACTCACCACCTCAGCCACTTCCATCACCTCCCATGCATGCCCACCGGGCAACACCTGGGATGAGGGGTAAAAACAGGGCACCACATCCCTGTCTTCAAACCTACTTTCTGCTTAAAAAATACAAGTGAAGCAATTGAAAACCATTAAAACATATCAAAAATTGTAAACTAGGGCATAGTTAGATAATAAGTGCACGGTACAATGACAGAGCATAGGCATCTATTCCACTGCCTCCCATTAAAATTATACTAAAGAGATATTTTTTAAAAAATGTTTTAAACAGGGGTGGCTGGGTGGCTCAGTCAGTTAAGCATTTGCCTTTGGCTCAGGTCGTAATCCCGGGGTCCTGGGATCAAGCCCTGCGTCGGGCTTCTGGGATCTCCTGGAATCGAGCCCTGCGTCGGGGG